GAGCTTCAACTGAGCGAAGGTTTGGAGGAAAATCACAGACGAACGTCGCGGAGAGGAGAAGAGGAGAAGTGTAAAAGTCGCGAAGGTTTGAAAAATTTCGCCGGAGTTAGGACTATTCTTAGTTTAAGGTGAGTCATTTGCCACGTGGAATATAATATCATACGTGGATTATTATTTTTTTCTTTTTGGCCAACGTGTACGTGTTTGTGCAACACGCTCCATACCACATCAAAAAAAGTGTTTAAAATGTTGAGTTTGGATGGGTTCAGGGGTCCAGATGACAAAAGGATAAGTAGAAGGGTTCACAATACAAATAGATACAAGTACAAAGGTCCACCAGACCATTCTGCCTTTCTATTTTATTATTATGTCATGATGAACATGTATTTACCCTTGGACCTTCTAGAATAAGCTTAAGATATTCATTTTCTTTCTTTTTAATGTCATGAACACGAAATATCGACCCATTTTTTCTATACTTTTTTTGTAATCGAAAAATAGAGGTGGGGACCACATTTCTATACTCTTATTTGGTATCGATGATTTTTTGTTTATTTTTTCCATTTTCTCTCGATCTCCAGTTATATTCCTCATGCTTTTAATCGAACTATATCCCGGATCTTGTTTGCAGATATCAGGATCTTATGAGTTCTTATAATAATCTCAAGTGAATATACAATATAGAATTAACTGAGTTCATGGTCAAATTATGTATATATATATATATAAAAAGAAATATTGTTGATAATTAGAAAAAAGAATACTTAATTCACGTGAACCCCAAAATAACATGGTATTAGTTCCACCTCTGTTGAAGAAGATGATGAATTTGGCTCATCCTATTTCCCCAACCAGGGGAGGACCCACCTTGGCCAAAGAGGTGTCAAGCGACACCCCTTCGCCGAAAAATTACATTGTATATAGAGGTCAAATTTTGATTTAATAAATATATATATATATATATTAACACCTCTTGATACAAGTAAAATGTTTAGTCTTAGTGGTTAAGAGGTTGCAAAAATTCCTTAAGGTTGTATGTTCTCAAGCCTTGTTGGGCTCATATTTTAATTACATTTTTTTTCCTTACTAACCATTGACACTCCTTTATGAAAATCCTAGATCCACCACTGTCCCTAACTATTCTTGCTCAGTTAACTGATGAACATGTGTGTTTATCCCTTAGAACCTTTTTTATATTATCCCTTAATTAGATGAGAATATGGGTGTCAAAAATGAATCCAAACATAGGTAATCCGCCCAATCCGTCCAGAATTTTAAGGGTTGGGCTCAAGATAATTTGAATTGGATTCAATCTCAACCCATTTAAGTCTAACCCATTTTAAGATAATTCTCAATTGAGCCCAATTCAATCTCCAATTTCAACCCGTTTTAAAACTATTTACTAAGATATGTTCCTATATTAAAGGTATGAATTATTATCTATTTAACATCTTTTAGGATTTATCTATCCATTTGTTACTTTTTTTTAAAAAAAAATCTTAAGCGGAAATTTGAATTGTGATTATAAAAGTTAAATATCACTATGTTAAAATTATTGAGATTAATAGGGTTAAATTGGACGGGTCAAGACCCAACCCGTTTTTTAGCCCATTTGAATTCAACCTATTTGAGCCCAAAGTAAACTTGGGCGGGTCAAGACCTAACCCAATTTCTATCTCAACTCATTTTAATATCTCCAATTTCAATCCAACCCACCCATTTGACACCCCTAGAAGAGAACATTGAAAATCCCTTTTAAGCTCCTTTTTTTAATATAAAAAAGGAAAAATTACAGAAATCTCACATTTTAGTTTACTTATTACCATTATCCCCTATAAGTTTTACAAATTTCCAAAATCCCTCATTTTTGCGCATCAGATTAATGTATCAGCGCTGATATTATTGTATCTCGCGCATCAGATTAATGTATCAACGCTTATATTATTGTATCTCGCGCATCAGATTAATGTATCAACGCTTATATTATTGTATCTCGCGCATCAGATTAATGTATCAACGCTTATATTATGTATCTCGCACATCAGATTAATGTATCAGTGCTTATATTATTGTATCTCACGCATGTATCAACACTTATATAGCTCTGATACATTAATCTAATGCGCGAGATACAATAATATAAGCATTGATACACTAATTTGATGCGCGAAAATGAAGAATTTCTGTAATTATAAATTTTTAAGGGATAAATTGTAATTTTACCTTTAAAGTATGTGATTTCTGTAATTTGTCCTATAAAAAAAAGAAGAAGTTGTTTCATAAACATCAGATGCCCCTTTCATAAACAAGCACCATAACATTTTGATTCCCTCCTGTATCTCCCTATTCTAGTTATTGGTTTTTTTATTCTTTCTTTAATTAGTTCTCTTATATTTGGAATATAGGAGTACCAAGAACTGAGAGCCCATAATCCTCGTGTCATATAATAAGAAAATACAAGTACGTTTCCTCCGATAGCTAACTTATTATGTTTTCACACATTTCAATATGATATTAGAATTATTTTTTTTATATAATAATATTTGTACACTATTAATTTTGCACACTTCTTAAGAAACTATAAATATAAGGGTAATTTTACTATATCAACATTTGAATATAATAAATACAAGGGATAATTTCAGAGACCTCCCTCCAGGTTTCGCTCTATAACACTCACCTCCCCTGTGATTTACTATATTACGTCTACCTCCATTATTTTCATTTTCTTGTAATCATTCTTTAAACCTATTTAAAATAAAAACAAATTAATTTAGATTTGACAATTTTACCCTTCTATATATTAATTTCTTCATATTAGTAAATATTATATAAAAAATAAATAACTCATTTAACAAATACTTTAAAAATAAATCAGCACAAATAAATTTTCTTAAGAATTAAAAGTCCTCTTCTCTTCAAACTTTCAATTTATCAGTCTTGTTCAATTTTTCTCCATTCTTCTTCGCAAGAGTAGAGCATCTTCCCTGCAAAAGCAAGCAAATTAGGTATTCTTCTTCAAATCTCATATCATTGCTAAAGCAGACTAAGTATTCTTATTTTGTGGATTTTGATTCTACATCACATATAAAATACTCCTTTTGTCTACTGGATACTTATATTTTTCACCCTAAGTGTTTAGTTTAGATCTTATGGTTTGATGTGATCTAAAAATCGAGTATAGTTAATATTTGGTGAAAATGGTGGGTCAGCTTGAATGAAGACTTTGATCTTTGTTTGATAAAAAAAACACGTGTGTGTATATATATAATAGTATTAATGTATTTGTGATCATTTACTTTTTAAAGTATTTGTTAATTAATGAGTTCTTTTTTTATATAATATTTATTAATATGAAGAAATTAATCTATAGAAGGGTAAAAATGTCAAATCTAAATTAATTTATATTTATTTTAAATAGGTTTAAAGAATGGTTACAAGAAAATGAAAGTAAGGGAGGTAAACGTAATATCGTAAACCACAAGGGAGGTGAGTGTTATAGAGCGAAACCTGAAGGAAGGTCTTTGAAATTATCCCTTTATTCCCTAAATACAATGTCTTAAAAAATGTAATACTAGGAAATGTGACTATAATTATTGATAAAGGTAAATTAAGAATCAATCGATTTCATAAAGTGGATAAGTATTGTTGGACATCCTAAAATAGTATAGTGGACAACTATTATTAGACGGAGGGATTATAATACTGGTCATGGCTTCAACGTGACCACATGTGTCTAGGCTGAATATCGAGTCTGGAGCCAAAAGGGTAAGAAATTTTCCAAAAATTCCAAAAGGGCAATAAAATTAATTATCAAACCAAAAGGGCAATTTTCAGACGAAGAATTGGATGGCGTCTAAATTAGGGCCGTCACTGCAAGGCCCCGATTTCTATGCGCCTTGCAAGGCGCAACCGTCATGAGCCTTGTAAGGCTTGGCTGTCTTGCGCCTTGCAAGCGCATAGAAATTCAGCGCCTTGCGGCCTTTTTTTAAATTAAAAAAAATTAAAAAATGTTCAATCCGATTATCTGTATTGTCAACATTTATTATTTCATTAAACGGGAAGATATGGCACGCCAAAAGTGTAGAAATTGATTATTTTTTAAAAGTATACTATTTGGCTTAATGTTAGGATATTCGTAAAACCTTTTAATTATAGATAGAGTTTAAAATTATTATTATTTAATTACAGAATGAAATGCAACAAGGCAAGACGCAGGGCACCAAAGCCTTGCAAGGCGCAGGGCCCACGCGCCTTGTTACATTTTAATTAAAAAAAAATTCAAATTTTCTTTGTTTGTCATTTTTATATATATAGTTTTTTAATTATTTTGTTTAAAAAAATTTCTTTGTTTGTAATTTTAATATATATATTTTTTAATTATTTTTATTCACTTTAATATGAATAAATTATGAAGAAAATAATTTTAAACTCTATTTATAATTAAAAGGTTTTACGAATATCCTAAAATTAAGCCAAATAGTATACTTTTAAAAAATAATCAATTTCTACACTTTTGGCGTGCCATATCTTCCCGTTTAATGAAATAATAAATGTTGGATTAATCAGTTTTTATCATTTATGAAATAATATCAAAATTATAAATTGAAATTTATTAACAATATAGATAATCGGATTGACCAAATTTTTTTCTAATTTTTATGCGCCTTGCAAGGCGCAAGACGGCTGGGCCTTACAAGGTTCATGATGGCTGCGCCTTGCAGCGGCAACCCTAATTTAGATGCCGTCCAATTCTCCGTCAAAAAGTTGCTCTTTTAATTCGATAATTAATTTTGTTGTCCTTTCGAAATTTTTGAATTTTTTTTTTTTTATCCCTTTGACTCTGGACTCGCTGAATATCTGCGTCAATGCTTCAGATCAACACGACAAAGAAATTTGGAAAGTAAGCGAAAGTGTACACGTTACTTTATGAATTTATAATGATTGAGAATTCACGAGCTTTCATGCAAGCGTAATTTTTTAATCATAATATGCGCGCATCTAGTCATTTAACTAGTTATATTTAATGGTGTGGCTTAAGATGCCTAGAGAATGCGCATTTTGGAATACAGAAACGTACAGCAACATGTTATCCCTGGGATTCTCACTTCCCCTTAATTCCAATATTGCACTTACCAGCAGATCAAACCGATATAATTTTCTTACCAAATTCCCCAAGGTTCTTGCAGCTACTTCAAACAGCGATAATGCAGCTGTGAAGCTTGGTCGAGGGCCGGCAGTGGTGCGGGCACTGCCGGATGGCCTCAAGCGAGAATTAATGCCGAAGCACTTGGCAGTCATTATGGATGGTCACAGAAGGTGGGCAAGACAAAATGGCTTGAGCGTAGATCATGGTCACCGCGCTGGCGAGGAGAAAATAAAATTCCTCACTCGCCTTTGTTGCCAGTGGGGAATCAAAGTTCTTACTGTATTTGCATTTTCTACTGAAAATTGGGTTCGTCCCAAAGTAAGTCATTTTAGTTTAATGTCCTTTGAGATAAAATTTTACCATGAAAATTATATTTTAATCTTTGTGATCTATCATGTCAAATCATATGATAAAAATCATCAAGTGAAAAAGAAAAATGATTTCTCTATTTTATCTGTTAACATATCTAAATATTGGGTGATGCAGCAAGAGGTTGACTTTCTCATGGACATGTTTTTAAATCTGGCAACCTTAAAAGAAAACTTGGATGAATGGACAAGGTAGGCTCTTTTTAAATGTTTGCCTCTATAATCATCAAGTGTTTTTGAATATATGTGAATTGTTTATATTAACTATCACGGTTACCATCACCCACCATTGTCAGTTACGTACATCATTGTTGACTCATTTGCAATCTATCACCCTTACAACAACTCCCACCAAATCACCACTATATTATACTATTCTCATCACCAATTACCACTATTAACCATCACTGTGAATCACTATCGTCAGCCACCATTACTATTAACTACTACCACATACAAAATACCACCATTAGCCAACACCATCCTAGTTGACATCCATAATCATCATCGCATGCCATCACACCCACTTTTTATTATTAAGTATTCAAATCTCAATACAATATTTTAATAGGAGTATCATATTCAAATATCTAAGATTAATAATGTGCATCTTTATATTCACATAAGTCTTCAAATTTAAATATCTTAATTTTAGTGAAAACAAATAAAACCAATCTAATTAATTAAGCACTCATAGAATTAACATGCATACATCTGATTCAAACATCACCACCATCGAACAAAAAAATGAAATTATATGCTTTATTTTTTTGTATGTATCTTCTTTTGTTTAAGGAATTATACAAAATTTGAACACATTATTCTACGTGATAGTCTTGATATACGAGTGTCATTTATTGGAGATAAATCAACCATTTCCAAGTCTTTACGAGAAGCTGTGACTGTGGTGGAGGAGATGACGAAATCTAATTCGGGACTGCATGTTATAATAGCGCTCAATTACAGTGGACGACAAGATATATTACAAGCAACCAAAAGCATTGCCAGTAAAGTAAATACTGGACATTTAGCTGTAACAGACATTGACAAGAACATCTTTGAACAAGAACTGGAAACTCATCGCGCCGAATTTCCTGAACCAGATTTGTTAATTCGAACAAGTGGAGAGCAAAGAATTAGCAACTTCATGTTATGGCAATTAGCTTATACTGAACTCTATTTTGCAAAGAAGTTGTTCCCTGACATGGAACAAGAAGATTTTATCGACGCTTTAAAGTCGTTTCAGCCAAGAGAAAGACGTTATGGTGGATCACAAAAAATCTAATATTCAATAGTTGAGAACTAATAATATGTGAATTTCCTATTGTTAGGATTAATAATAAGTACTGGTTACAGTAGTAAGAAATAAGTATGACTCAACCTTGGGAAGTCATGTGGATTGATTTATGTACTTTTCAGGCATAATTAATATGTGTTACTAACACGACTTTGTCATCTATGTCTCTTATTATGCTCTTTATTTTTTTGTAACAAACTATTTTTCTCTTGGTACTGTTTGCGATATCTCATTCTTGTTTCTGATACATCAAATAACAAATACTAGTAATTAATATCATCGATTAATCAACATGATTTCTTTGATTCGTTTTATTTGTTAAATTGAAATTTATACATTTCTAAATTGTAATTTTCAAGAATAATTACTATCAAGGAGAAAACGAAAAAACATAATTAATTTTATTTGAACTTATAAAATAGTAACAAATAATTTAAGATTGTTATTATTTTAAAATTGCAAAAATAAATTGAGGTAAGGGAGTATAGAATGGACCCCACTTAGTGTGCAATATCAAGCAAAAAAAAATAGATAGAGGTGCACTAAGATTGAAATTTCATAAGATTCGAGTAAATTATTCACTTCCTACCTCTCAATTTATGTGATAAGTTTCGAGCAAATTATTTATTCTATTCACGAGATAGGTGCACTATGATTGAAAATGGGTGAGCTACTTACATTTAATATATATGAGTATGGAATTTAACTTCTATATGAACAGTGGGGGTGGTAGAAGCTTAAAATCAACTACGAATTTGGAAGAATTTAATTAATAAGTATATTTCAGTAATTTTGATTAAATCCTAAAAATCTAATTTAATTTGATAACTCAATATCCCATTTCAAATTTGAAACTTTAGAGTACTTTTCAATAGAGGAAATGACTTAAAAACATTTTCTTTTAAAAATTAATTTTGTACGATAAAAATGAAATATGATTAGAGAATATTAAATCGCCAGTAAAATGTACGTGAATAATTTTTTCGTGCAACTACTTGGGGTAACTTATGACTTTTTCCAAATATATTTGGGGAAACTTACATAAACCCCACTAATTGATACGTTTTGAGCAAACTATTTATTTTATTGATCACGAGATAAGTGCGCTATGATTGAAAATGGGTGAGCTACTTACATTTAATATATGTGTATGGAATTTAACTTCTATATGAACAGTGGGGGTGGTAGAAGCTTAAAATCAACTACGAATTTGGAAGAATTTAATTAATAAGTATGTTTCAGTAATTTTGATCAAAATCCTAAAAATCTAATTTAATTTGATAACTCAATATCCCATTTCAAATTTGAAACTTTAGAGTACTTTTCAATAGAGGAACTGACTTAAAAACATTTTCTTTTAAAAATTAATTTTGTACGATAAAAATGAAATATGTTTAGAGAATACTAAATCGCCAGTAAAATGTACGTGAATAATTTTTTCGTGCAACTACTTGGGGTAACTTATGACTTTTTCCAAATATATTTGGGGAAACTTACATAAACCCCACTAATTGATACGTTTTGAGCAAACTATTTATTTTATTGATCACGAGATAAGTGCGCTATGATTGAAAATGGGTGAGCTACTTACATTTAATATATGTGTATGGAATTTAACTTCTATATGAACAGTGGGGGTGGTAGAAGCTTAAAATCAACTACGAATTTGGAAGAATTTAATTAATAAGTATGTTTCAGTAATTTTGATCAAAATCCTAAAAATCTAATTTAATTTGATAACTCAATATCCCATTTCAAATTTGAAACTTTAGAGTACTTTTCAATAGAGGAACTGACTTAAAAACATTTTCTTTTAAAAATTAATTTTGTACGATAAAAATGAAATATGTTTAGAGAATACTAAATCGCCAGTAAAATGTACGTGAATAATTTTTTCGTGCAACTACTTGGGGTAACTTATGACTTTTTCCAAATATATTTGGGGAAACTTACATAAACCCCACTAATTTAGGAGCTAATTTCCTAGATACACTCTAGTTTGTAATATTAGATATTTTACCATATTTTTGTTTGGTCAGATACACCAAGATACATGTATTTCAGGATACATGAGGTCAAAGTTGTTCTAAATACATTGTATCCAAGTGAATTCGCATGTATTTGAGATACATAACAAATTTCGCTTGCCACTCTCGCATGTATCCGGTAGCTCACATGCGAATCACACCAGTCGTCAGATACATACATATGCATGTATCTAGTATGTATTTAGTGTGATTCGCATATAGCTGGGATACATACGAATCTCGCTCGCCTCCCTCCCATATTCCTCATGTCTCTTCCTATTTTAGTGTATCTGATAGCAAAAATAATTAGTGGTAAGATACATAATATTTTCAAAATATAGATAGTAATAGTAAATATGATGCTAGTAAAGTATGTGTTATTACGTGGTTTTTCCAAATATTTATACGCACATGTCCATTACCATCTAGTAGTAGTATAGGATTCCCCCACTAATTGCTGTACAATGCAATTAGCCACAAAAGGAAAAAATAGAGATTGCAAATTTGATCCATCCCTAAATTTATATTCTTTCTTTCTCTCTTTATAAACTTTGTGTGAAGTTAATTAAATTTGGGCGAACAAGAGAGTACTAATTCAAATCGGCGAGCTTTGAAACCAGAACGCACACTACAACATGCTATCCCTGGGATTCTCACTTCCTCCTCCTTCCAATAATAAACTAATTGTTACCAACAAAAACCAATATAATTTTCGTACCAATTTAGCCAAGGTTTGTTCTAATAATGTTAATGCAGCTGGGGATCAATTAGTGACACTGCCTGAGGGCCTCAAGCATGTTGCAGTGATCATGGATGGTCATAGAAGGTGGGCAAAAAACAAAGGCTTGACCGTAAAGCAAGGTCACCGCGCTGGCGGAGAGAAAATCCAAGTCCTCACCCGCCTTTGTAGCCAGTGGGGAGTCAAAGTTCTCACCATTTTTGCATTCTCTACAGAAAATTGGGTTCGCCTCAAAGTAAGTCATTGTATTCCTTCCATCCCAATTTACATGACACAGTTTGAATTTCGAGAGTAAAATAGTATAATTTTGATTGTGATTCCGGGGAATCTCTAACTTTTGAAATAAAATTTACATATTTGAAAACTAGGTTAAAAATACTATAAGTCACCATAATTCATAATTCAAGATGTTTACATGAAAAAATCCGGTCAAATAAAGATTTATTTGAATCTCGAAATTTGAAATTAGGTGCACCATAAATTGGGGAATGAGGGAATAACTTTAATGACGATCTATCAAGCATGTTAAAATAAATCATCAAGAAAATAAATTAAATAAAGAATAACAATAACATATTCAGTGTAATTTTATAGGTGAGGATCTGAAAATGATATAATGTACGCTGAACTTACCCCCACCTCGAAAAGATAATAAAAGTTGTTTTTAAAGATCATTGACCCAAGTAACCTGTACAAAATCAACGAATATATATATATCAGAGAAAGTGACTTTCTTTTCTAACAATGAAATTAATTATACAAGAAATGAATCATATGTCTGATTATATTTAACTATATATAATTATAATTGCATATGATTTGTTTATTTAATTTCTAATACACCAATGTTTTGTTTTATTTGTTAACAACGCAACTCTAAACTTGAGTGCCGCAGGAGGAAGTTGATTTTCTTATGAAGTTGTTTTTAGAGCTGATAGGCTCACAAGAAAACTTGGATGAGTGGACAAGGTATTCTATATATGTGATAAATAAAAATATCTTGTGTGATCAGCTATCCGACTATCTATATAAGAGATCGTTAATTCCACCATTTTAATGCAAAATGGTTCCCGAAATTAATTCCCCATGGTTTAGTAAAAAAAAAGGTGGTATTTGATATTCATTTTGAAATTCAACTTATTCGAATTAAATTATATTATGTGATAGGGATGGTAGACGAGTATCATTTATTGGGGATAAATCAATCCTTTCCAAGTCTTTACAGAAAGCTCTTACTGTAATGGAGGAGAGAACAAAATGTAATTCTGGACTACATGTTATAATGGCAATCAATTACAGTGGACGACATGATATATTACAAGCAACCAAAAGCATTGCCAGTAAAGTGAAAAATGGACATTTAACTGTAAAAGACATTGATCAGAGCCTATTTGAACAAGAACTGGAAACTCATTGCGCCGAATTTCCTGAACCAGATTTGTTAATTAGAACAAGTGGAGAGAAAAGAGTTAGCAATTTCATGTTATGGCAATTAGCTTATACTGAATTCTATTTCGCGAATAAGTTATTTCCTGACATGGAAGAAGCTGATTTTATGGAGGCTTTAATGTCGTTTAAGTCGAGACAGAGACGTTATGGTGGACAAAATATCTAGTAATATTTTCAAGAACTTCCATTACTGAGAATTAAACCTAGCTCGAAATATGAAGAATTATTGATTAGATCTCTTGAATTTCCTCTTGCTATTAGTACTATTAAATAATTTTATGGTGGTCGATTGTATCTATACCAGCACTATATAAGCATGAAATATCATCATGCTAGTTATGTGGTTTGTGCTGAGTTTTTCTTTTCTTTTCCCATCGCCCCCATTAAATTTGTATCACACACCGAAGGACTCGTGGCACTCCAACAGGATATTCATATTTTCATAAAAAAAGAAGAAAAAAAAAGGAGGGGGACGGGGTGGGGACAACGCCGGAAAATGAGACTATAAAAAGTACTCAAAGTCATATGCTTCCAAGATGTCAATCACATCACCATCATTCATCATTTTGTTGGTTCTAAGTGATGAGTGGATATAAAATTTTCATTTTTTACATCACATTTGATTTTTGCTAGACTATAATATAGTAAATTAAATTATAAAATTGAGGCGAAAAATATAGTATATTAATTAACTATCAATAATAATATCATATATTAATTGAATTAGTATTAAATCGTAACTTGTCTTTTTAGCAAATCCTTAAATTTATTTTAGATGAGGGAAGTTCACTTTCTTAAGTCAAATGTCAACTCACTAGTCATTAATCATCTTATTATTCAAAGATCCAGTGAATTTCATTACAATTCCATGGAAAATAAAAAGATTTGACAAACAAATAAGAAATTATTTGGTGTTCTCCTTTCTCTTAAAG